TCTTGATGATATGTGTAATACACATCTCCATGCTAGGAATTTAACTATGCTTTTAAAAATATATTTGGCATTTTTCTCCTGCTTTATCTTTTCAAAACATTTTAAACCATCACAATGGCCTTACAAGATGGGCACTGACTTTGTGTCATAAATATATCTTGCCCAGTGACTAAATCAGTAATGGATCTCAGGCCTTTTTGTGTTCCAGCACCAACCTCAGTATTTAGACTGTGCTGTCCCTCTGTCAAGAAATTAAAGTTAGGCATCATCTTCATTTGTATGGCTTTCCTTTTGTACTGGATGATGGACTAGCAGTTTAACCTAAAACAAATGGGCTTTTTGTTTCATTTACAGGATACTTGCAGACTGTGCTAAGCTTATGGCAAACACTTCTCAATTCATCCTTTCATCAACGAACAGCATGTCAGACCAAAATGGTAGCTGGAACTGCATTTAGACCTTTAAATTCCCATTCTATTGCTTCTATTTACCAAGGCTTTAAAAATGCTGTTGCTTGATTATTGATCCAATGTTATGATGTTTTGAGGCAAGATTATTAGTTAATTATTTGTTTTGTGTACATGCCACTACATAGTTTTATCTGAAGGGAAGCACCTCTCAACTTGGTATTTAAATACCTTCTGCTTTTTAGAAAAGGATTGATCAAATTAAAATCTTGGGCTCCATCTTGTTTCCTGTAGGCTGATCACAAGGTGTGTGCTTTGAAATAAGAAAGCACACACTCTTATTTCAGAAATAACAAATATATAAAGCAAAAGAAGGTAACTAGGATTACATTTTAGTCAGTATGCTGATGACTAAAATGTAATCCTAGTTACACCTCCACCCTAGAAACACCTCCACTCTCTTTTAATGTTCCCAGTGTGACAGAATGCGTCTAGACGAGCATGGCTGCGTCCAGACGAGCATGGCCATTTGGTTTCACAGGGACAAGTAGCTGCGGCACACCTTGTGCTGCAGCTAATTGTTCCCAGGGAAAACCTGTGCCACACATGCTTTGGTGTGCAAATTACTTTGGGGGCAGTAGGGGAGGCTGGGGCCAGCCTTACCTGGGATGCTGGAGGCCTCCTGGGGCTGCAGCAACAGTGCTTCTGCCAGCAGCTGCAGCACGGCTCCAGGCAGTTCAGCTCCACTTTTCAGCAGCATGCACTGCCTGCACGTGCACTGCTCTGGGTCTTTTTCTTGTAGGGTTTTTTGACCCCTGAAGATCCAGAAACGCTGTGGCTGTAGCCCCAGGAGGCCTCCAGGACCCCAAGTAAGGTTGCTGGGGCCAGCACAGAGCTGGCCCTGGCCTCCCCTACTGCCCCCAAGGTAATTCGCTGCATGCCAAAGCATGCTTGGCACAGGCTTTCCCTGGGGATAGGTAGCTGCAGTGCAAAGCATGCAGCTGCTAATTGTTCCCAGGGAACCAAATGTCCGCGCTTGTCTGGATGCAGACTATCAATCCATCACAGGGGGATATCCCAGAGTAAAAAAACAAACCACTGAAAAATAAACCAGAGCAGCGCATGCACAGGCAGTGTGCCCTTGCAGTGCAGCGAAGACCTCAGCATGCGGTATGTGGTGCTGCAGATGTGTTTGCGGAGCCACGTACCACACGGCTGTGCTTACCTGGACACACCTATAGCATCTTTCAGAGACAGGGATGTGGGGGGTTATCAGGCTAAGATCAAACGCAGAAGAGATGGAGTCAGTGGGCATGTCTACACATCACCCTTTGGTGATGTAGCAACATACTACATTGCTGTATGGCAAGCTATTGTGACATAGAGATTGTGTGTGCCTACATGTGATCGCTAGCTATGTTGTCATAGCAGCCAGCACGGCACAGAAACAGCCCTGTACTGCACCATGTTTTAGTACTTCCAAAAGGAACACAGCACTGTAGCAACATAGTCATATGGCAGCATGTAGACGTGCGCAGTGTATGTAAAGTTGGGACAGGAAAAGAAACAGCAAATTGCATCTGCAGCCTTGTTTCTGAAGTTCTCAGCCCAGAAGTCATTAATCTCTAGCTCCTTCTAGATATCCGAGTAACAGAAATTCCCAAACATACCTATCCATCTCCACTCAGCAGGACTGCCATTTTCTCTTTGGAGAGACAGATGTTGGTAGAGCTTTCTCCACCTCTTTCATTTTTCACATCTTCACAACGCTGGTTTTCCCCCAGGCTCCTTTACAGGAGCTGTTAAGATGGCTGTGAGAAAATACAAAAAAGTGGAGCTCTTCTAGCACAGGAAGGTTTTTAATAGCTGTGTGAAGCACTGGGAGCTCCACAGACACAACAGCTCCTGGGGACTCCCCAGCAACAAGTGGTAAGGGTGGCATGAGCTTTGGGAGAGGCAGAATCACAGCGTTGTATCACTGCTGCCACAGGAAGCCTCAGTGCCCAGCAAAGTGGCAAGAGTGAAGGTTTTAAGAGGGCACAGCTTGGTAACACATAAAAAATAATCTCCCCCCCCCTTGCTGAAGTGATATAGACACTTTAATTCCAATCATATCTTTTTGCATTTAATTTGAAAGCTTATTTTTCTGGATGCAGATCTGGATCCAGCAGCAGGTTCTACCCTACTTCGGAGGCCAGAACCTGAAGGCAGACTAGTCAAACCCCTTCTCCCTCAGTTCAGTGTTGTTTCCCTTCTCCCTAAGCTCACAGAAGATCCCAATGGCACCTACATTTCTGCCAAGACACATTTGCCCAGTTGAACTTCTTAAAGAGCTGTTAACAGTGAATTGGATATAATTAATTTTTGCTGCCTCTTGCCCTACTACTTCATCTCAGCAATGGGTCAGAGATCTCTTTATCCAGGAAAAAAAACATCTGGAGAGTGTGCCCACAGGCACTGGGTTTTCTAGCCAAAGTAAAGTTTAAATAACTGCAAAAAAGGGACTGTGAAGGAGAAAGAACACACAGCACATTTTACTTTGTAGGTACCATGAATTTGGGGGAGAGAGATAGAATTCAAGTTGTACAGTTATTATATATATTTAAAAATCACTTTGAAACGTATTGGGATTTCCATTCCTTTGAGGGCAAGTATTTCTTGACGTCTGTTTACTTAGAACAACAACCTTCGATTCATCTGAGCGCTGTTCCTTCTCCGTTGCCCCATTCCAACTCCTCCACTTCACTTCCTTGTGTGGATCCTTTCACATACAGAATCACCTTTCACATATCAAACTTGTTGGAAGAAACACAAGCAAGGTCCTGAAATAATTATACTATGTTCTTAAGTAGAAATCAAGCAAAAACAGAAGCTATTTCTGCAAAAGCATATAGTTGCTGAGTTCAAAATCCCAGGTGCAGCCTCCAATATTTTCTTTAAAAAAAATGAGGTGAGGAAAATAATAATTTCACACATCAGCCTACCTCACCTTTAAAAGAATAATATTTCCTTCAATTTGCAGCTATATATTTATAAATCTGTTTTCCAAAGCGTCCATCCTGTATTGTGCTCAGATCCCACAGTAATGGGCAAACTAGAATGGGAATTTGACACAAGTCTACATTCATATCTCCCCACACTTGAGGCTACCATCAAGATGCCTTCCCCAGAAGCAGAGTTGCTGCTAGAGTAGGGTAAATTAAATTACAGATGAAGGTTTACCGCATTAGTTTATGAAGGCTGACAAACTCAGGCTTCTGAGTTCCCATTCTTGATACACCTTCTCAATGCTTGCTTCTGTAGTAAATCCACCCGTTTGAGTTTCAGTTAATTTCAGCACCTGTTTTTCTCTCGCATTTAATTTTTTGTCAGCAAAACGCTTTCTTGCAAGAATAATTGCATTTCAATTCAAGACACCAGGTAAGTGTTTGCAGAATGAATCGCAGCACAACACGACTACTCATGTGACCAATTCCCTGGACTTCAAAGTACTCAAAGGAATGAAATTGCATAAGTGCTTAACTACTTGGCAGGACTGTAGATCACAATACTAAACACATCTGGATGTAAGCTAGTTACACAAATACCTCCCGCCACTGTGTGACAGGTTACTGGGAAAGATTGTCTGACCCAGTAAATGGCAATTCTTATGTTCTACGAAGACAAAACAGCAGATATCCAGCCACAATCATTTTCCCCATTACTGAATTTCTCAATTATGTCATGCTGAGAAAGACTCATTTAGGGGCAAAGGAAAGTATTGGACAGGTATTAAAAGTAATTTCAGAAGATGTAGATTATGCAAAATATTTTTTGTAACTACAGTCTAGAAATGAAAAGCAAGAGAGTCCTTTCAGGGCTTGCCTTCATTTCTGAAAATGTTTATGCAGAAGCAATGTGTAATTTTGTGAATAGAGAAGGGCTGCCTTTCTGATCCTTAAGACAAGTACAGCTCTGGGAGACAAAGGCACACAAATATCCTTGTTCACTACATGGTAACAGTGATGAATTTGAATGCTATTCTGTTGTCTGCCTCTCATATTCTGTATTTTGGAGCATATACTTACGTTTGTGTTTCAAATTTTCCGTTTAGTTTTTGCAGCTGAAGCTTCTTACAGCTGGGGTAAAGACTGGTTCATTCTGTGGTTTCCCCATCCTCCCATATGCTACAACAGCTTCCTAAGAAGCTGACATTGATATTATAAGCCTTAGACATTTACCTCCTTTTATTTAAAATTGCAGCAAACTCTAGACGTTTTCAAAAGTCATTTTTTATTGCAGCATTATCTACAGCTTTTTTCTCTCATTAACTACTCATTCAAAGCAAATCGTGCACACAATACACCTTAGTGATATAGAGCACAAAAAAGGTTAAATTGGAGTCTTGGATGTATATATAAATACTCATGTTCCTACATCTCTAGAAGAATCAACAAGTTTAAATGATGAGTTTATCATAATACTTTCAGTACAATTATTCCAATTCCATGCATCTTCGGTGCTTGCTATGAGAACTTGTTAAAAATAGTTTCATTTCAGAGGTGCAAAGCAAAAAATAATTGCAACAAGATTTGCAGAGATGGTCCCATTTTGGAACTAAAAGCCATTAGTCTACAAACTGCATTAAACTACTGTAGGTATCTCTTTTTCAGCAGTAAAAAATTTGCCCTGCAAAACACACACACACACACACAAAAAGAAAAGAAAAAATTAGTCATTTAGCAGTTTCCCTTATTAAGCAGACTTGGGATTTTCAGCAGTCTAAACATATCTAAAGTTAACTAACACGCTGGCTCATGCTGTACAAATTTCCATTTCTGCAGAAAATGTCAGTTTTTGTAGCCAATTCTTGACACACAAAGGGAAAATGTAAGTATAATTTCTTCTGTGAAGTGTAAGGTGAAATGTAAGGTACAATTACTTCTGTGAGAGGTTTTTTTGTGTGTGTAGACTGTACCATTGATATTTACCAGCAAAGATTCAGTAGGGCTCACCTGCTCTTACTATGGAAACCTAGAAATTGTCTATTTTCATTTATAAATATAAAGTATGTAACTTCTTTAACCTTAATAAAATAGTTTTCAGTTTATTAAATATTCCCTAGTTCTGGTTAACAGCCAGCCGCTGCCTTCTCAGAATGTGGATTTCTCTCACACCTGTGTTAAACGTTTGTGCCATTTCAGTTGTTTAAGTCTTGAAGCAATATGCAGTGGGAGAGAAAGCTAAGAGCAGTGTATGCAGGTTTAACAGATGTACTGCTGGGTTAGAAATCATATTTTGTAGAACACAGAAATGAACTACAAAGTGGTTTTAAAAGCAGTTATTTTTATCACCTGACATTACAGACATTCCATGTTAGTAGGCGTTAAAAACCGGATCCTGAAGATGCTAAGGACATCCCACTCCTACTGATTTCGGTAGGAACTGTAAGAACATTTCAGCATTTTCCAGACCATCTAAGTTCAGGTTCTGGGTTACTGAATCATTAACAAGTTCAAATCTTTCATGTGGACAAGTTAGTCCACCAAAAACGTTTCTGAATTCATTACATTGCATCCTACCCTGTTTTTAGCCTTTAAAATGCTCTGCTTTTAACTTAAAAAAGCATCACTGCAAGGGATACTATGTGTTGATCTTATTTAAGGGGAGCTTTACCTGAAGTAATTAGCCTCTAAAGAAGCTGATGATGTAGGAGCAGAAATTGTGCAGCGATTCCCAGCAATGTTCTCGTGCCAACTTCATTGCTTCAGTTTCATTTTCAGATGCCTGACTGTGCTGGGTTGGTTTTATAAGAAGCAGGGTAGATGGTCTAGGTTTCCCTGCTTTTTTGATAGAGCTCTTTCCTGCCTGCTTCAGAGAAGTTGATGATTTCTGGACCGACTTCCCCTGATTGTTGGTATCTGGTTGTTGGCTAGGATTCCGAGTTGGCTTCAAGCTGGAAGCTACTTGCTTCATGTGAGCATCTGTGGGAGCCTTTTGGCACATAGCAGGCTTCAGCACTGAGGTGGACAGGCAAGCATTTGGAAGTTTTCTAAGTTCAAGGGCAATCTGGTTCCAATAAGCCTTTGGATTGTTATTGAAAGCACGACAAACTGCAGGTTTGCCAATGTACTCACACCAATATGACTTGCCTTGGTTTCTGCATTCAATTCTGAGTTTAACTTCCTCATCACCAGTCACGGTCATTGTGCATGAATCTTTGGCTTTAGTCTGAAAACGGATTTCTTCAACATTGCTCCTTTTCTTTGGTCTCAGCTTCTGTCCTAATCCTCCTAGACAACCGATCATCATTAGGAGAAGAAAGGTAACAGTCTTCATGGTGAAGAGCTGATTAAGGTCCTTAAACAACGTAATCCAAAAAAGCAAAAGGAAAATATAACAGGCGGCTCACCATTTAAAGGTTTGGTGCACAAAGAAGTCTCTCTCTCAAGGTGGGCTGTATTTTTTAAAAATAAATCACCTTACTGTATGTGTATGCCCATAATTTATAGCTCAGGGGAGTGTCAAATAACCTACGAACTCTCAAGGTAACAAGACGCATCTTGCAGCTAAATACAGCATGATGGTTGTATAACCGAACCACGCATTCTTGCCCAATATGCACGTCACATTTGATTTTTAACAGATCTTTTCCATTTTCCAGCTGCCTTATAACTATTGCTGTGCCAGATCTTAGAGGACTGCACTGAAGTACTCAAAATAAGGCCAACCCAACTGAACCTTAGATAATGTTGTCCAGACAACTAGAAACTCAACCCACTTGGTTAAACTGGTGGGATTCTTGGGGTTTTGCACTTGTATGCACATGGTTTTTGAATTTCATTATGCCAGCAGTTCATACAAAAAGTACTGGGTGTAATGAATCCTTGGGAAGAATCAACTTCTTGTTGCTTCATTCAGGAAAGATTTTAGAACTAGGCAAGCATTAGCTAGGCAAGACCATCTTTTTTTCTTAAGAAGGTCTATATCATGGGATATTTTCTCATTGCCACCACATACACAGTTTTTTAAACTAACAATTAAGACAACATACAATAGCTAGCAGAACGTGATAGTATTCTGGAATAAGTGGTCCCCAGAGAAGGAAGTAACAGTCAGTCTTTGATATTTCCAAGCTATACATGCCCTTGAAATGATTCATTTAAGTATTTCTGTAACCGTTTTCCTTTTCACAGTGACTGCTGTAAGCACCTCAAAATGACATTCAAGAGGACTGAAATTTCTTAAGTGCAGTCATCCTAACTGAAGTCTGGAGAAACTGAAATCACCATTTTAAGTAGTAAATAAGGCAAACATCTCTGACACCTGAAAAGTCAAATTGTGCACAGCTGTACAATTGTGCACTGTACACATGCCTGCACTGATGTGCTTAGGAGAATAAGGGCCAAAGGCATTTCTACCTATTCATCTGTAGTAATAGATGCAATTCAAAACTCAAAGTCAGTGACACCGATTTCACTGGGTTTTGGATAAGCCCCTGAAAAATGTTCCAGCTCTTTAAAACATCGAAGAAAAGTTGAGCAATTGAATAAATCACACTAGAAGTTGAGTAAGTAGAAAGAAAAAGACAAACAAACACATGACTACTGATAGATAATGTGGAGTTTAAGGATTTTCACTACAGAACTCTGCCGAGTTCTCCCATCCCTCTCCTGCCATTTGCAATTCTTTCATCTTGGTTGAGCTGGCCCCGTCAGTCAAAGCTGATACTACAGCAGTTTATTATGAGGAACAAATTTACTTTCCATTAAATCCATTTTCACACATGATCTAATCGGATGCACATTCAAAGCCTGAAACAGACTCAAAATCAAACAAAATAGTATTTATGCATCAAAACACAGGTTAGTTAACCAAGTTTTTTTTTTTATTTCAATGTATTGGGAACATTTTCTCAAATTAAAAATAGAAACTTTAAAATCTACAGTCTGAACATAATATGTACACATATGCTACATATAATCAAGTAGAAATATTTCCATTTACGATCTAACAGTGAAAAATGTAGGAAGTTATTTCAGATAAAGACTGGTAGCACTGAAAACCTGGTTGCACTCTTCAGTTTTCATCTTATATATTCAATGGTTTTCAGGAATACCCCTAATTGAAACCATAATTAACCTTTCTGGAAATAAAACTAAGAATAAACATATTCAAGACATCTATTTATTTCATCTTCCTTTGCCCCTTGTGCTTTATATTTATAGTGTAGACATTTGCAGCCCTTTTAAATGAATTTATGCAGCCATCTCATCCAGCAACACAACTGTCATGCCTAAATTCAAGGCAATCCCCCAAACAGTAACAATGTAAATTAACTCCCCCAAAGTGTTTCTAAGTTTTATGTGGAAAGTTGCATTTGCAAATGAATTAGCAAAAATAACTCCTGGCTGTTAAACAATTTTCAGTGCCATCTCTTAGGAACTTGGGTTGTACAGGAGAAATGGAGCTTTCAAAAACAAAGATCAGCAACTTTTTGCTACTACTGGCTATGCTTGTGACCCAGAACCCTCCCACGGGCCACAAATCTATGCCCTCCCCCCACCCCGAGTGCCCAAGCCACCTGCACCTACCTTCACCACAGATTCAAGTGGCCAAGGGTGATGGAAAGGGTTAAAATTTGGCGGTGCTGTATTTGGAAAAGCAGAGTGGCCAGCAGACACCGCGGAAGGAACAGACAGAGCACAGCAGACTGTAGCATGTCTCCTCTAGGGCCCTGGCTACTGCAGAAGGAATAGATGGAACAAGGCAATGGTTGGACCCCCTCTGCTGCCCCAACTACAGTGTGCTGCCGATTCCCCTGGTTGCCCTGGGAAAGATCCAATCTCTTCAGGGGCCAGATCCAACTCCTGGGCTGTAGGTTTCCAACCCTTGTAAAAGAACCAGTTTCATGACATCCTACTCTATTTGAGTATTATTAAACTCCAGTCATCAGAGTGGGTTTTCCATATTGTGCAGTGCAAGCACACAAAGACAAACACAAACTTGTAGTTTTAAATGAGTTTCTCTGAAACTGCCTTCTTTTTTTCTATATTTCAAACATCACTACAGATGAAATTATTCAAGGAAAGGAGAAAATAATTCTTTGACTGATTTAATTTTTCAAAGACACAAAAGAGATATTGTGAGTTTCATATATTTAAAAGTTCAGTCAAAAGTGGTCATTCCAAGAGCACCAAATATCAACACTGATCATGCTGGTAAGTTCTTTTATGAAGTATATTATACAGTATTAAAAACTTAGCTAAATACTTGTAAGTTGTAAGAAAATGTATATACAAAAGTCTCTGTATATAAAATGTATTCTTTATGTAAACGTATTTAATACATTCCCAACAAAATAAGAGAAGATTTTGAGCAACCACAGTCAGACAGTTAACTTGAAGTAAAATCTATGCAAGTGAAATTAATATCTTTATCATGATTTGGTTTAGAAAGCCCAGTGTAAAAAAGTAAAAAAGAAACAAAATTACACTTTATTTTAAACTCTCAATGGTAGTGAGCAAGAAGTGGATGCCAAGTGCCCTGGTCATAAAATATTTTGTACAGTAGTTTATGGTATAACATTCAATAGTATTTGCTTGATTTACAGGACAAGCCGCATAAAGCGAGTGGCTCAGGGCTTGGAAGATGAATGCAGATCCCAATACAGTTTCAAGTGTCATGCTGTCCCACAGAAGTCTCTTGAGCATCACATTTAGGGGCTGAAAACAGAAATTCAAGAAAAAGTTGAAGTAATTTGTATGGAAGCTGAGATATGGATGAATTTAATGTAAAAGTTACATATGGATCAGCACAACTTTTACCTTGCAACGATCATGCTACTTAAAAAATATAAGCCTTTGCTGTTTTTTTCACATTTTAAGAGCACTTTTTTGAGAAAAAAATGCATGAATTTTTAAATAAATTAAAAAGCTCGTTACTTACCCCACAATGTTGCCAGTATCTGCTACCACTGTTCCACAGAGCTGTGAAAGAATAAAGGAATATCATTTTCCATTTCCAACAAAAGAATTAGAAATAATATGTTTATAAGTGGCAGTTTTCAGCACAATATGGTCACCAATCACACCTATCTCTGAAACATGTAGGTTGTCCAGAAATGACTCCCAAATTGTCTTCCTAGTTACTGGAGTACATTACAAAGAAAGGAAATAAGTTAGCTCTGCTCTAGCATTCACTTTTGTGATCTTGTTTGGGTTTTAAGATTTGTTCTGAGGATGTAGTTTGGGGAAGGAAATTCATCAACAGTCAATGCAACAAGAGCCCTAACTTTGATGAGGCTTGACTCTTTCCTGCTTAGCTCAGACAACTAATACCATATGCACTCCATGTCATTTGAATATATAAGTACTGCCTTGAAGAAACAAATCAGGAAAATGTAAAACATGCAATTATTTGTTCCCCTAGCACTACAGCTGCAAAAGTTAAAGGGTTTCTTATTACCAATCAGACCCTCCTATAACTTTAAAATATCATGGTTAAATTGGAAACAGTCTCATTCAAAGATGCTAAAGATGCTGGTAAAAGGATCTGTAGAATGAAGAAAAAAAGTAGGAATGTAAGAAAACATGAACAGATCAGAAAACAACTCTAGTATCCTGAGACCCTTGGCCCACAGAATACTGATCACATACCCAATTTAATCAACAGCTCTCAACCTATTTCAGATACCAAAATATAAGGTAGCAGAAATTTTGATTAAATTCTTGTATCAGTTATAGGTAATTAGAAGTAAGTCCACTGAATAAGGGAACTGAAGTAAAAATCTAGCTCTTAAGTCTTTCTTCACTTTGAAAGCAAAACTAGTCTGCTTTTATTTAACCAATGTCTTTTATGTCAATGATTTTAGGCCTCTCATTAACATAATACTGAATTATGAATAAGTCACTGAAGAGGACTTCTTTATTAAAAATTCTTTAAAAAAATATTTAAAGTACCACACAGGTAATATAGCATATAGCTCAAAATTATTGAAATCTATATTAAAAAAATTCAAAGATCAGAAAGTTACTTCTAAAGTCTGGATGATTATAAGTTATGGAAAATATCAAAAGCCTTCAATGTGAAAATTCTCTGATGTGCCAATGGGGCAGAGCTTTGAATCAAATACCTTGTAGATTAATTTAACGAGTCCCAAAGGCATACAGTGCAATATAGAGCATGCCACAATACTGACTATAACACCACTAATAATATTATTGTATAAAACACTTCTTCCAAAAGGGAACAGAGGAAAAAGATCTGGGCAATGAAAAGATTCATATAAAATAACTTCAATTTGACTCTTATAGCCATGAGGGCTGCCAAAACATACC